GGAAATTAGACTATTTTCAAAATTTGAGACGGGAATAGAAATGATTAGTCTGATCTTATCAAAAATTTTAAAGGTATTTACTTTGGGTTGCAAACTATCTTTATTACACTGAATAATAATCTGGTTTTTATACTGATTGAGCTGTTTTTCAGTAACAGGTAAACACAGTGCCTTCTTGAAGAATAAGTTCAAGAAAAGGTTTAATCCATAAATTAATTTGAGCTATCTTCGTCTTATTGACACACCTATATCGCTTTAAATGGTTTCAATGCAAACTCACGCTGAAAAATAACAGGATAACGTCCCTTCGACCACCATAAAACATATAGTATTATTACACTTAAGTAACGAACGAAAATATTGGGAATGAACGGTATTTCCAAAAGTAATTAAGGCCCGAATTTACCTGGAGGAATGGCTTAACACCCAGTGGTTTCTCCAAACTACCATAACATCCAAACCTTTCTTAGTTATTTGAAGCTCAGGACAATATTTGCAACACGATTCATGAAATTTCGTCTTTCTAGATAAATGCCGATAGAATGACAATTATTTTTTTGAAATTATCACAAAAATTAATAAAAATCCAAAATATGCACCCGTTACGTGAAATATGCAGCAGAATATATGCAAATATGCAATTTTTTTATTGCTATATTCATTTCTAATTAGCATGATTCGTGCACATATTAAATATCAAGACTTATATGCAAAAAATAACGGATATGCAAATTTCATAAAATCTGCTCTCTAATAATGTGTTTATTTCCAACGGGTAGAAACACCCAGGTACAGGAAACATTTAAATAAAAAACAATAAATAAACCTATTCCCTAAGCATTAGTACAGCAAAAAAGAAGAAATCAAAGAAAATGATTTAAAAATAAACAAACATTATATAACTCCATTTCTTAACTGCTTAATTTTCTAACCTATCTAGCAATATTCTACATATATGGTTTAGATAATCAAAATTTACATTGCATGCTTTACTGATTAAATTAAAGTGATTGCACATTAAGATTAACGGCGATTTGCTTAAAGTATTTGTTCTGCAGTAAGGCGTTAACGCATGCCTAGAGTTTATGCGTGGTATTAAGAAACAAATTTTGTTTAGCAAATATGGACAGTCAATACGGTTATTAAGTACATTATAGAAAAATTTTATTATCAATATTACGCGCCTTATTAGTATTTAACAAATTACAATTGAATCTACGTAATAAAGTAGGATGATCACAACCTCTAGGTGGATAAGTATTCTCGATTAAATAACAGACGAACTTTAAAAATTTCCTCTTAACAGCTTCAATTTGTTGTATGTGAACACCATAAATAGGAAACTAGATTAATGCACCATATTCTAGTCGAGACCTAATAAGTGAATTAAATAACAGAATCAGTGAACTTGCGTTCGTAAAATCACGACAGTTTCGGAAAATAAAACCATACATTTTATGACATTTTGAAATACAGTTCGATATATGATATGTAAAATAAAACTTATTGTCCAAAATTACACCAAAGTCTTTAAAGCGATCTAATCGAATTAAGTGTTTGCCTTCTATACTATAATTGTAAATAATGTTAATTTCTTTTCTGGAGTAAGTAACAATGTAACATTTTTCTTTATTTAGACACGGCCGGTTGTTGTAACTCCAGTTGGAGAGAATATTTACATCATTTTGCAGTTTTACGCAATCACTTAGCGATTTTACTTCGAGGAAAAGTTTCAAATCGTCTGCAAATAGATACGAAATTATTGTATTTAACACTCAAATTTCTTCCAATAAGGTACGATTCCATTAAAGGTAGTACGGGTTTAGTAAAGCCAAAGCATTCAAGTTTTTTTAATAAGATATAGTGATTAATCTGATCAAAGGCTTTACTAAAATCGGTATAGACGACATCAGTTTGATTTTTATTGTCAATTGCCTCGGATGCATATTGGCTAAAAGAAGCCAAGTTGGTGACCGTAGATCTTTTTTCGACAAAGCCATGCTGAAGAGGAGTTATGTAACATTTTATGCCTGAATAAATTCTTTTGTATAAAACGGACTCAAAAACTTTGGCAAAGTTGCACAATAAGCACTAAGCAGATAGGTCTATAATTTTCTATACATGTTATATCTCCCTTCTTAAAAATTGGTGTAATTGATGCCACATTTCCAGACATTAGAAAAAGCAGATGAAGTCAATATTAGATTGAAGATATAAAATAGAGGTTTGGCGAAAACCGTAGGCACAATCTTTTAGCAGGAAACTTGGTGTATCATATCAGTACCGGACGTGAAAGAATCTTTAAAAGTTTTTAAAACATGGAGAATTTCGTATTCAGATATATGTGAGACTGCTACAATTAAATTCGAAATTTCTTGACCGGCGAATTGAAATGGACTATTGGGATTTGATGCGATGTATACGCTGCTGAAGAAGGTGCTAAAGCCATTGACGATATCAACTGGTGAGGTCAATTCGGAGTTTTTGCACTTCATAGAACTTGTGATCCTCGAGCGGCCTCTCTTATTTTGTATATAGGACCAAAACTTTTTCGGATCGTTAGAAATTTTGACTTAAAGATGACTTTATTGGGAATGAATTTATCCTGAATCAGCGTGGTATTGAATCGTTTACGTTAAATCAACTTACCATGAACGAGGAGAAAAATCAAAACATAATATTTTCTTTAGCAACAGAGCATACTTCCTCTGATCATCCAAATTGTGTTACGCTACTTGGTTTTGTTTTGGACGGGAAACGTACTTGGCATAGTCACATCGACCATTTAGCGGCTAAACTTAATCCTGTACTTTTTCAGTTGAAGAAACTCGTCATGTTTTGTTCCAATTCCTTTGCAGAAACATTTTATCATTCTAATTTCCATTCGCTTCTCTCTTATAGGACAATCTTATGGGGAAATTCTGGTTATGCCATAAGGATCTTTAGAGCTCAAAAAAGAGCAGTTCGCATATTGGCGATAGAGACTTCGCAAATGGCCTCATGTAGGCCGCTTTTCAAAAAATTCAAACTGCCCTGCATATACTTATTAAAATTTAACTTAAATTTTATTACATGCGCATCTACATTCCCATGAATTTCCAAATTTGCTCATCTCATGATGTCTGCTCCACCAGAAACGCAAATAAATTATTAGTTCCATATTGTAGGTTAACAAAGACACAGAGTTCTGTAAAACTGATGGCAATAAAATTATATAATATTCTACCTGACAAAATTAAAATATTACCTATCAGAAATTTTAAACTAGAATTAAAACGCTATCTACAACTTCATTGCTTTTATAGCATTGAGGAATTAATAAAATCTTTTAAATTATAAAATCGCTGTCATGTATGATTTCCTACATTCTGACGTGTCCATATTCAGTTGATTCTGGACTAGTAGTAAATAAAAAAATCGAAGCTTATCAGGCTGATCGCTTGCCAGAATGTGAAAGTTCGAGGAATGCATAAATGTCAGTTCCATGAACATTAATAAGAATAGTGAAGTTCTTGTCGTCTGTGAACCAGTCACGAAGATATTTCATGACGAATTATTATTAGGAACCACCACGGACCCGGAAATGACCGGCATTCAGGCAAGATTTCTATCATTGCGGGTACTAAGACTAATAATAAGTAATGATATGCATTGATTAGATTAATGAAAAAACTTTCGAAATCCTAACAATACAGCATACAAATTCGTCTGCTATTTTCTAATCCTACCCCATCCCCAAGAACCTAGTGTAACTACAGATCATTCATCCGCGTAGGGTATAAAATAGGTGCTAACCTATTCTGACTGACATGATCAAACTGTTCGAGAAACTTACGAACAATATGACATGTTCCTAACAAAACAGCGTTTTGCATTTTGACAATTATTGATTGTAAAAAATTGAAATACTCAATTAAACTATTTAGTATAACACCTACATTGAAGTTAACTAAAGGCAGAATTGAAATTTTCTCAAGATTTAGCATTGCCTTCATTTCTATGGGTAATTGTCGATATTTTGAAATTTTGGTGGGGTATGTTTGTATTATGTTGTGCATGTTAGGAACAGCAATATCAATGAGAATGGCTTCAGGGGTGTGTTTCCTTTTTAGAAGTATATCTGATCTATTCGGTGTTTTCAGTAAATGGAGATGGAATGTGTCATAGGGTGTTGTATCTTGGATTAAGTTTAGATTTGTTGCTAAGACTTTGTGAACGATTTTGGTTGCGTTGTCGTGTCTAGCTTTGTAATCAGTTTGTGATAACCAACCGCTCCCCATGTAGTACAGAAAGGGTCATAATTGGCTCTTGCCGGCGTTTCTTTACCATCCCCAGTAACATTTTATATGTAATAAATATTGAAGTTCTAACATTTAAATAATATGGGTAACGACAGATTTTTTTTTAGAAAATCAATATTGGTTTTAAATATTGAATATATATTTATTTTCAATGTTTAATACTTATTTAGTTCAGAACATTTAATAAATGTTCTTCATATGAAAGGGGGTATGGATATAAAAAAAAAACTTGTATGGAATACAATATAAAATTTATTAAACACAAAAATACATTGTCACTGGAAATAACAGTGTATTTGAAACGTTGCGGCAATATTTATACATTTAAAAATTATTTGTCCTAGGTTGAAAATTTGTACCAGGTGATTTTTTTTTTAATTTCTGCTGTAGTTACTCATGACACTTATGTCAGCAGTGAAACTGAAACTGCTGACATAAGCTTCATGGGCAACCAGAGCATAAATTTAAAAAAATCACCTAATGTGAAACACAATATAAATTTTTTAAACATAAAAATACACTGTCAACTTACAATGAAATAAAAATACATTGTCAATGGAATTAACAATGTTCTGCTACATTTCAATTGTTATACAGAAATATTTATTTAATAATTATTTGCTCTATAACCAATTCATTGAAAAGCGATATAATTAATTAAAATTAAAAAAATCATACCTCATGTTTTTTCGATGAGAATTCATTCTTGCTTTTGTCTGCGCTTAATGCGGTCCTAAAATTTTTTAAATTTCAGTAGTTGTGGCATTTTTGTGACGTTTCCGTGTGGTACCTACAATTAAATTAACTTACAAAGTTCGTAATTTTTAAGAAATCACATAACTTTACATACTGTAGCCTTGTTAATTGTGAGTTCACTAAAAGAGAGCTTATTTTTTTCCTTGCCCTGAAAACTTGAAAACAATTTGGTTCATTATTAATAATTTCTTCAAAATTGCATACATGTTTTTTTACGTCTTCTCTTCCTGACAAATAAACATTATTATCAGTCTGAAACTAGTTTATAAATACTAGGAGTTAATAATAATAATAATAAATGCTTACCAATTCATCCAATTTCTACGTATCTCCCGCAATTTCTAACTCAATTTCGTCTTTTTTTTTGGTTGCTCCCGGACATTCATCATTTTGTCTCTACATTCATAATATGCTTATATTCAGAAATATTAAACCTCTTAAATATACTACGTGTTGAGAAATTGCATTTTCTGCATTGCATGTAGAAGTGAGGTTATGTAGGTTTAGTACTGTTTTCTTGACAAAACGGTACTACTACTACACTATTCTGAATTTATTGCAGTACCGATAATCACAATTCACAATAGGACAAACACCGTGAACTTACACAAAATACTTTTTCAACCAGCAACAATAACAGAAAATACGTATATGTTGCACATTGCACAAACGCGTTCCAGCAGAGCAAGCATATCTGTAGGTGAAACGGAAATTTAAGTACGTTTTATAAAAATGATGAATAAACTTGTTATTTTTTGTTCGCAAAAATAAAAAAATATAACTTTTTAATGAGCAATTAATAGTGTGCAAAGCGAGATTTCGAATAGTGTCAATTTCACAATAGCTGGTATTTTTTCAAATCAATTTTTAATATTGCTCCAATAAAAACCCTATGAAATAAATTACCTACAAGTTGTCCCAACATGGTACTTTTTTTTTTCATTTTTGTTGTTCGGTATCTTGATAAAAAGACATTTCATAAATATGTAATATATGTTGAAATTCATACATAAATTTATAAATATAAAATTAATATTATATAAATATTTGTAATATCTAGTCAACATTTAATATTATATCAATCTTGTATAAATATTAGAAAAATATTGCTTGCTACTGGGGATTGGTTAAATGAGAAATGCTCTCACCTGTCATCTTACCTCCATAATTTCCACATGTTTTAAAATAAAGTTAGGTTTTCTGTTAATGAATACATTAATTATTTGCTTTTTGGAACATTTTCTACAAAAGTTCAACCGGCATATCTCTAACAATTGCAGGTAATCACAAAAAATTCAAATGTCCGGGTTTCTTTTTGTCCAGCACTGTATATTATGTTAAATTTTACTATCAGGACCATGGAGGAAAGAATATAATCATTCGTCCATGCTCAGGACGACCGCATGTGCAGTATAATTTATTTCAGAGAAATTAAATGACAATAGACCTTTTGCATGACTAAGATGGCCGCCGATTCAGTGGTACTATTTGTCCGCACTCAAATTTAGGTTGGCAACAATGAATCATTTGGGATAATTTTCCCACATTTTAAGTTTGGTACCATGAAATCCACCAATCAAATGTGGTTCTTAATTTAGACGATTCATTGTTGCCAACTTAAATTTAAGTGTTGACAAATATTACCGTGTTTTTCACTTCATTAGTACTAATGTTGGGCATAATCGACATATTTCACTAATCGAATTAATTGAAATAATCGTTTAAAATAATCGAATAATCACTCGAAAATTCTATTATTGTCCAGTGCGCATGCGTGGCTTGACGAAATCTGAATCGAACATTCAATTACGATTTATTTATTGATTGAAAATAGTTTCATTGTCAGTGGTCCGTATTCTTTTCCCTTAATTAATATTTAGAGACGTTCGTCATTTTTTTTTTTTTCTCTGATATATGCTTTTATCGTAGTCTTTTCTCACTCACTGTAATCAAAATTTTAGAAACCGAAAGGGAAATCATACGGCCCAATATGTTTGTAAATTATTATATTATGTAAATAGTTAGTTATATTCAGTCATACTTGTAACACACTACCACCAACCTAACAAATGAAATTTACTCATGATTTCGATTATTTTCTACAGTTAGGGCCGGTTTATCAATGCGCAGTTAAGTTAAAGTAACTGGCAGTTAAAGCTTGTCTGTGAGTTAACCTGTTTATCATTACCTGCTAGCTCAAAACTGGTGGTCAAAGTGCCTGATAAATTAACTGACAGTTCAAACTGTCAGTTAAAGCGTTATCCACCAGTTAGTGGCAACATAACGTAACAAATCCAAATAAATCTGTTATGAATTTAACAATATTTTGATGAGGACTTATGTTGTGGAACAAATTGACAAAGAAAAGATGAGAAAAACACTTATTATTAGCTGATTATTTTCCAGGTCTAATGTAGGTACCAAAAATTAAAAACCTATCTAATAATACCGCGAGATCGAAAAAGAAATTAATCGAAGTAGGCCATGCACGACAAGCCGTTTGTCGTAATCACGGTGGTAGGGTAATTTAATTTTTTTTATTAAATGTCAAATTGACAGTTTAAAATTAGAATTATGACGCCTACTTTTAAAACACATAAGAATGAATTAAAATCACCGTTTTCCAATTTTGTCTAAAATTTATCCCATTTCTGAAGATTCTAATAACAAAAAAGCTTTAATTTCGTTTGATAACAGTGCAAATTACTTTTGTCAACGTGACGATTAATAAAAAAATATTTTAAACTAAGACAAACGCCTTTTCGTGCATGGCCAACTTTGACAAATTTCTTTTTCGATCTCTCTGTATTTATTTATAGGTGTACCTACTTGTTTCATTTTTAATTTCCAATACTTTTTTTCTAATGCTAAATTTTGCTTTTTCATGATTGATCACGTGAAACGCTATATACAATCGTTGAATACCGAATGCGGATCGAATCTGATTGAACTTTCAAGGTCGGGGTAGTTTTGAACTGACCAATCGCAACTCATTTCCAGTGGGGTGAGCGTTACCAACTTAAGAGAGTAACAGCTAAACTTCGAGCTACGAAACTGGAAGAAACATCGTGCATTGATAAACACTTTACCTCCGTTAACTGCTAGTTACCCTTATCTGACAGTTACTTAACAGACACTTTTAACTGAGCATTGATAAACCGGCCCTTAGTTGCCTGAATCCGAATGAATTATTTCGAAATCTCGAATCGTAATCGGTTCGTGTACTCGTGCGCAATCGAAACGAAAAACGAAACGAATAAACGAATGATTTCTAAACGATAATCGAATGATCGATTATTCGGGTATAATCGAGATATCTCGATTATATCATTCGTAATCGCCCAACACTAATTAGTACCACTGAATCGGCAGCCATCTTAGTCATGCAAAAGCTCTATTATCAGATTATCACTTAGGACCACTGGGAAGATATAGCATGTTTTTATTAATATACGTATTGTCTGATCAGTATATGTATATTTCACATTTTAAAAACAAAAAAAGGTTTATAGTTTTTATTTGTTCTAGGTGTGTCAGTGGCTAACAACTCTTGGATTAGAAAATCATGTATCAAAATTCATAGAATTACAAGTAAATGGGTATGCGCTGCTACTGTTAACATCAGCAGACTTTAAAATTTTGGAAATAACAAGTGATGATAAAAGTTATTTAAAACGAAAAATTAAAGAACTTAAAGTACGATCTGAAAAAGAACGCAAGCAGCTTGAAAGAAGCCGTAAAGAAAAAGAAAAACTTCTTCGAAAAGCTGAGAAGGCCAGCAAAAAAAAGTAATAGAAGATGTACCAAGTTCAGGAAAGCACCGGCCTAGTGAAATATACTTGCGTCAACAATTTAGAATTGTTTTTCCAACGTTAGACCAATTGTTTATGATTATATAACTAATAATAAACGTAGTAATTGACATTAAAATTACAATTTTTTCAGTGTATATGCAAATAAAATTTATTATTATTTGAATATGTGAACAGGTACGGTGCAACTCGTCAGTTTGAAGCTGGTACGGGATCAGCTAACAACTATCTACAAGTGGATAATGGGATGGGCTTTTTACGATTTAATTAACTAGTTACAGCGCCACCATCTGTCAAATATTTCTCACAACACCTTCACTGCATAGCACCCGACGTTCCTGCAGACAAACAAGGGGATATACTACACAAGAACTTTGGATCTCGTTACCAAGTCCCGTCTCGGAAGCGAGCAATGCCGGAACTGAAAATAACTGGACTACGTAATTTAAGAAAAAGCGGACAATTTAATCAGCAAAATTTAGAGATATTACGTGAGAAACAAGATGTTTATAAATTGCAGGTTAATCTGAACTACGGTTGTGAACTAAGTTGATACACTAGCATACATCCATCTATCCCTGGTCAGTGGTGCTAATTGCCGATCGCGTTACCTCGTTTTAGAGGACTAAGGTAAGCAATGACCAACCCCATTAACCTCTAAAAAGATATGGCCGTTCCAATCGGCATTTATCAAAGATAGTGAATATAAATACAGATAGAGTATGCCGTATACCTTCCATACTTCAAAGGGTGATCAACATCTCCCCGGTGAGAGGAGTGAGGCGCGAGAGGTTTATTGCTTCGCAGTACAGTGGCTGACGAGTTTCAGTTTCATACCAATTTTAACAAAAACAAAAAATATTGGTTTTTAAACCAAATGTGACACTTCCCATACGTTCGCGTATCTAGTCTTTGCAAACATCCACTAAAATCTAACATAATGACAAATTTATTAAAACTAGTAGACATCAGTAAAATCTAGTTCCTCCACTGACTCGCTCAACCGCTTATCCGTCAATTCACGAATGTGTACTAACACGATACGAACAGAAGAGTGGGTTCGTCTCGTATGTGCGATACAAGACAATGAGCACATGATACAATAATTCTCAAGGTATGATACTCGTGGGGCTCAAAATGAGACCAGTTCGCGCAGTGACATCACTCAGAGAGTAGAACTATTTTAATTTCAATATAAAAGCAGGAAGAATCCGTAATATTTTTAATTTTTACTGTTATAATTCTTTATGTATTTAAACAAGTGTGTTGTATGTACAACCTCTATATTATAATATAATAATTATATTTATATCACGACGTCTAGTCCTCGATATCACTTGATTTTAGATACTGGGAGTATGCCCTTTGTGCTACTCTACGCCACTGAGCTTAAAGATTGTTATTTCCCCTTCTCTGGGTACTGCTCCATCGGTTCTCCGTTGCTGCGTCATTCGTTCCTTTGTGGCCGCCTCGACACCACGAGTCTCTGCAACCAGCAAATTATCTTTTCACTGTGTTGCTCAGAACACCCTGTTCATCTGCACAGGTAATCTTTCTAACATTTTTAGACTTTCAGCAATCTCTTGCAGGCAACAATGCCAGCCGTCAATCGCCGTACCTCCTCGGACGCCTCGTTAGAGTCCTCGGCGCGCCTTTCGCGCGGGGAGCTGGAACGGCGATTACGAACGTTGGAAGACCGTTGCAAGCGGAGGCGGAAACATCGCCGTCGCGACCACTCCCTGTCCCACGATAAGACACGCGTAAAGACTCGGCGTTCTTATCGCGGAGACCGCCAACACTCAGATGTACGGCACTGCGTAACCACTCGGCAGTGTCGTCGTCAGAGCAGCCCAGCAGACGTACGAGAACGCGCAAAAAGTCGGCGTCCTCGTCGGTCCATCAGCCGCTCCAGATCACGCAGCCCACACACAGGTGCGAGCGTCGATTAAACCAGCGAGCTAACACGCTTCAAACATTCGAGCGACAAACCAGCGGACTCAGCGTCTCGCGCGGAGCCAGAACCGGACCCCACGTCTCGTGCGGAGTTAGAACCGGACTCACCCATTTTAGCGATCCAAGACCCGGCTCTGGAGGAGGAGATCTTGACCATACTTGGCGCCGATCCTTTCCGAAACAAAAACTACCGAGTTGGCCTTGCACACGGCTCTCGCTAGTCGTTGGACTCCTTATGTAGCCAACGGCTTGGATAGTTCGTGGTCCTTAAGAATAAATACTCCTTGCCAAAAAATTGCCCCAACTTACAGGTACCAATTTTAAACTCGGAACTGATGCCAGCGTTACCCGCTCTGATCGTCAAAAAAGACAACCACGCACTTGGGCTGGCACCATTGGGTCAAGCCTTCAATATATTATTGACTTCCACCCCTTCACAGCCAGAGCTTCTGGCATTGGTATCCGACGCAACAAAAAATTTGACAAACTTTTTTTTACCATATGTCAAAATCCCGGCGACACACAGTCTTGCCCTATCTCAACAAGTCAGCAAAAGAAACATTGCTACAAAGTCAGACTGATACCTCCCTCTTTGGCGAGGTCCTTGCAAAGCGCCTAAAGACTGCCAAAGCCCTCCAAAAGTCGGGCTACGACCTGAAGGCCCCGCCTCCTGCCCCTCTCACGGGGACTCCCAGGAAAAAAGACGCCGGGTCAAACCAGAACAAACCAACAGTCGGTTCATCACAGTCAACGTCTGGCAATAGGTATTTATTAAACCGGGCAGGCCCGACTCGCCGCCAGGGGGAGACGAGATCATACCGAGGGCAACTCCCAGCATCCAGCCACACGAAATACAATCGCCATCAACCCCGTTAACTGAGGTAAAACACCATTATGCTGGCCAATTAAGTCTTAGTCTGGTGAAAGATCACCACAAATACAAACATCTTTAACTGGAGTAAGGGCTATAAAATCCCATTCCAAGCCACTCGATATCAAGTAGCACCGCCTACGCGAAAGCTACCACGCACTCAAAACACAGCTTTGGCCGAGGTCGTATCCCAATTATTAAACACCGGAGCAATCGAGATAGCAACACCTGCCAAAGGTCAATTCTTGTCTCCATATTTTCTTCGCCAAAAATCGAATCTGTCCTACAGGTTCATCTTTAATTTAAAACGCTTAAACCAATTTATTTTGACACCTCACTTTAAAATGGATGATAATAATTATAATTATAATTGTCGTACCGTCACACGACTTTTACAGCCTAACATGTATGTGACGTCTCTCGATCTTACCGATGCGTATTTATTCATCCCAATTCACCCAAGTCATCGGAAATATTTGAGATTTGAATTTGAACAAAACCTGTACGAATTTACAGCGCTGCCTTTCGGGTTAGTGGTAGCTCCGTATGTATTTAGCAAAATTACGAGGTGTGTTTCCACTTATTTGCATTCTCAAGGTATTTTATGCGTCAAATATTTAGACGATTTTTTCATACTCGGCAACTCATATTCCGGTTGCCTACGGGGAACGGGAAAAACCGTTCACGTCCTACAATCCTTGGAATTCATAATCAATGAATCAAAAGAGTCAGCTACACCCCTCACAGACACGTCAGTACTTAGGGTTTTTATTCAACAGTAAAACCATGACAATTGCTCTCCCTCCGGAGAAACGTCAAAAACTCCACACTCGGACAGCCACAATACTCGATCTTATCACTAAGGAGATGCAGTTTTAGGCCAGGCGCCTCCCACCACTTTCCGTCAGCAGCGTCCGCTGTTAAACTACTGATATGTATGTTAAATCTTGCATTTCGCCGCGCGACATTGGCGTGGCAATGATAATGAGGAGTGGGAGTTATAACCGCGTCCTTGAACTATTTTTGCATCTCTCTACTTATCACACACCATAAGCGGTGTCGTATTACTTACCTTGCACATATATCGGACTTTTGATTTTTTGATTTCGGCCTGCCCCGCCATTAAATACGGTTGGCTATATACTCGACAACTAGAAAGAGGAAAATGCAAAGCGCTTTCACACCATGTTTTAAACTATAAAGCAAAAATACAACTGTCAGCTGTTCTTCTGCCCTCATGTGGTCGAACACCGCAATTCGAGTAAAAAAAAAAACAACTTTATTCAGCAAGACGAGTATCAGCGAATCATTTTCACCGACGCTTCTTTAAACGGTTGGGGGGGCACACTGCAACGGGGAAAATAGACACGGTTGGTGGAATGAGAGAAAAAAAACGAAATATCAATTATCTAGAATTACTAGCAACATTTTTTGGTCTAAAATGTTTTTTGTAAATCACTCAGATCATGCAACATACTGATCAGAACAGGCAATACCACCGCGCTAAGCTATATCAAAAATGGGTAGCGTTCGACACCCAGAACTAGGCGATTTAGCTAAGGAAATTTGGCAGTGGTGTGAAATACGCGATTTATGGTTACACGCGGCATATATCCCCTCCAAAAGACAATGTAGACGCAGACCGCGAATCACGAACACTCCACAGAAACAGAATGGAGTCTCAATGAACAAGCTTTCCAACAAAACATTCAACGGTTTGGTTGCATCGCGGTTGAACCATAAATGTCCACAATATGTGTCGTGGCACCAAGATCCAGGCGCAATCACATGCGATGCATTTGCTGTTCCCTGGAACTACAATTACTTTTACGCTTTCCCACCGTTCGCTCTTATCTTACGCACAAAGCTGAGGGCGTAGTGGTAGTGCCGCATTGGCCTTCACAACCATGGTCCTCATTTTTCGAAAAACTGTTGACTAGCCCAGTTATATTTTTTGAACCAGACGAGTCACTGTTAACATCCCCTTTCAGGACACGTCATCTACGTGCAGCCAATCTTACCCTGGTGGCAGGGAAATTATCGGGGAAGGCTTACGCTTAAAGGGAATGCCACCAGCGGCTATCACCACGGCAATAGCGTCCATTACTCCCAGCACCTTAAGACAATATAAAGTCAGCTACAAGTTATGGTGGAGATATTGTTACGAAAAGGGAATTCCTGTTCACACCACCCAAACAGAGGCGGTAATCATCTTCTTACAACACTTGTATACAAAAACGAATGCTGCTAATGGCACCTTCAACTCCCATCGCTCAGCGTTAGCTGTCATCCTGCCTGGCGATGTTGGAAACGACAATAATCTAAGAAGGTTTCTTAAAGGCATAAAACGATTGAGGCCCCAAAAACCCAAATATCAAACGACTTGGGACCCCAGTCGTGTTTTACACCATCTCCCCTTCAGCCTTTTATCAGCGAAATTAATTACCCTACTAGCGTTGATAACAGGACAACGCCTGCAGGCACTGCATCTTATCAAATTGTCTCAGATTGTGGAAGACGAACAAGGCTTCAAAATTTTCATTCATCACACCACGAAACCTTCAATTCGCAGCGGGGAACAGCCGTGCCTGCACATTCCATACTTCCTCGACCAACCAACGACATGAACGGCAACCACGCTTACGGACTACATAGACACAACCAAAACTTTTATTAGTCGTTGGATCAAACGTACATTGGAAAAATCGGGGGTGGACATATTTTCACGCCCCATTCCACGAGATGTGCATCGAGCTCTTCAGCAAAACGAACCAGGCTGTCTTCAGCCATGATAAACAAAACGTGTGGGTGTTCGAATACCTCCAAAATGTTTGCACAGGTCTATAATCGACCCTTGCGGGACACATTCGCTTTCGGACGAAAAATTTTACACACCGCAAAATTTTAATCTTGTTACCTTGACAAACTTACACTAGGGGGCAAGTTCTTATTCTTTTTTGCACAACCTGACTAACTTTAAACAGCTACCAGTATCTAAAATCAAGTGATGTCGAGGACTGGACGTCGTGATATAATTGTCAAATCAAACGAACTTACCTGTGAAGTTCGATTCCAATTATATTAGACGTCCAGTCCGAAGATATCACTTCCCACCCAACCCCCGTGTATGTATAAATCTTTACCCTCACGCCAGGTTGTGCATTCCACTTTAAACAAAATGACGCAGCAACGGAGAACCGGTGGAGCAGTACCCAGAGAGGGGGAAATAACAATCTTTAAACTCCGTGGCGTAGAGTAGCACAAAGGGCATACTACCAGTATCTAAAATCAAGTGATATCTTCGGACTGGACGTCTAATATAATTGGAATCGAACTTCACAGGTAAGTTCGTTTGATTTGACAAATTATAATGCTGCATAAAACGACCGGAAAAATAATTTTTTCTACTCCTATATATGAAAGTAGACTTTTTCCCATCGTTTACCCTTAACGAAAACATCATTTTCACTTCTAAAAGTGAAAATACTTATTCATTCTAGAAGCGAAAGTAACCATGGACTGCTACGTGAAAAGTGAAAATTTAAAGTTTAAATCCACTGAAAATTTAAGTATCTTTTTTTTAATTTGATCAACTGATTGAAACTAAATTGATTAAAACTGATTAATAAATTTGAATAAAAATTAAACAAAAATGTTTGACGCAGCAAGATCTGCATACGCCTAAGCAACCAGTAGCGCTAGTCAAGTAGTCATATTGTTTATTCTACGTGATTGTTTTATTTCGTAATGACATATTAGGTTTCAAATTGTGTTCCTAATTTATTGAAAAAGAAAAGCCATGTCTGATTCAGAAGAATCGCGTAGTTCCACACCACCTTGTGTGATACAAGCAGCAACATCCGCTTCAAATGATATCTTACCACAAAAATCCCAACAGAGATATCAGTTTGTATACGAAAAATTTATCAACGGAAGGACAACCGAGTGACATCTTTTTCCGAAAATGTCTTGATGGCTTATTTCGATACATTGTCAAACAGTCTGAAGCCCTCCACATTATGGAGCATGTATTCCATGCTACGAAGTGTAATAAGTCTGAAACATGATGTTGATATTTCTAAATACCTCAAATTAAAAACTTTTCTAAAAAGGAAGTCGACGGGTTTCAAATCTAAAAAGGCAAAAGTATTGAATTCGGAACAAATTCAGTTGTTTATCGATAAAGCAAATGATGAAAAATTCTTGTTCACGAAGGTAAGTTGAGTTGAGGTTGTGTTTTATAATGTTTCATACTAGACTATTTGAAGGTTGCTCTAATATTTGTGATCTGTGGGGCCTGTCGTTCACATGAATTAAAAGATTTAGAAATTCAAGATGTTCAAGATTTAGGAAGCGCTTTATTTGTGACTATTCCAAAGACAAAAACAAATTTACCTCGTTCATTTACAATTGTTAATACCCATTATAAAATCTGCAAGAGATACATCAATCTTCGTCCACAAGGAATAGACAATACGACTCGTAGATTTTTTTTGAATTACCAACACAACAAGTGCACCCGACAAGCTATTGGAATTAATAAATTTGCATCTGTTCCAAAAGAAATTGCTAAATTCCTCAAATTACCAGATTCACAGTTATATACTGGCCATTCTCTAAGGAGATCTTCCACGACACTTCTTGCAAACACGGGTGCTAACATGACTGAAATAAACCAGCACGGCGGATGGAATTCGAGTTCTGTAGCTGAACAATACATCGAAGATTCGATTACTAACAAAATTAATAGAGGGAAAAAAATTTTTGATTCATTACAGATTAGCAAAGAAAATATCGGAAGTTTACCACCTATTGAGGGTTCGTTGTCACCTAAGGAGACAGAAATAACAGAAGCAGAGGTTCCTCCTGCATCACATGCACTTGAAGACAATGTGCCTTCATTAATAATTAATAAAAAAGAAAATAATGCTAAAGCAGCAGGTGTTGTACATAATTATTATAACTGTAATTTTCAATATATTACAAAATAAAATTTCCTGAAATTTATATGTAGTTAGGTATGTTTTTTGTCGTAGAAAAAATAGCATTTGCGACTCGAACTGAAAATCAATTTTTTCGTTCGTTGAGTGTGTTACACTCGTCGCTGCGCGACTCGTGAAACAATACTCAACTCACGAGAAAAGTATGACTTTCACTTCTTGTTGCAAAATATACTATTTTCTACTCACTATTGTGATAACCCAAACTTCCCGCCTTAAAATTTGACCTTGAAACAGTTTGAAAGGCCCGCGAAAAATTTAAAAATTCAAAGTTTGGCCTTGGCTGTGATCGTCTAACAAATGAGAACCTACGTTGTGTGTTTTTTTTTTTTTGGTTTTGAAAAATGGCGGGAAGAAGTTCTTTCATACAAGTGCATACACTGTCGAGAGCGCAAGAAATAATAGACAAAAATTGTTTTGGAGGGCGAGTACGGCACCCCTCACAGGGGGAAAGACGCTTCGAAGATTTACTCCTCAGCGCAAAAACCCCCTTTGGTTTTTATTCCCGGACGACCTATTACATTTCAAACACCTTAAGATATGTGAAAGAAAAACACTCGCGAATTGACAAACATACACACACGAAAAACGAACAAACGGAAATTCTGTACATCTGTTTGGAATCAATGCAAATATTTGAATATCACAAATTTAGTAAAACAAAGCAAAAGCTGAATCAAGTAACTGGATGCAAGTACACAAGTTATTACAGGCATGTGGCGGCCGATCTCCCTTTCCCTTTTTTTTTTGTTACGGCAGTTAACAGGAGCACAAGAAAAGTACCCCTGGAGCGTTGTAGCATAAGCGGAGTCTGAGCTACCGGTCTGGAACTGTTCTCCCCCCGCGACGGTGATTCTATCTATCGCAAAGCCTACCCCACACGCATATCCCATGACGAACTTTGCCCTGCGGAACTAGGCCATTACGGTCGTCCAACCCGCAAAGATCTCGACTATTGGGCCAAATCGAGAAATTCACAACGTCGGCGGCCGCCCCCTGAATCTATCCAAACCTGTGGACTTGTACAGGTGGCGCGATAAATCTCGCCAGCTCGACTAGGAACCAAACCTCGCTTCTGCCACGTTTTCTGTGTCATTTAACCTCAATTCCATTTTAAAACATTCAATCTCTTATAACTCTGATGTTAACAACAACTGAACAAGTGTTAAAGTTTCAAAGAGCAATAAACAACATTTAAATTCGCCATACAATCTTGTGAAATCTTAAACAACAAATAATTCTTATGTGGGATTAAAGTTGGACATCAAATAATTTATATGATAGAAAACATTCATCAACAAAGTATTTACAAAACAAAACTTAGCAAGGATTTATGAGACGAAAGATCTGGTGTGAAGTAAACTTGTACAAATAGAAATGTTATGTGAGGTTAGAACTGTAGAACATGAAATTTACGTTCAATTAAATTTATACAACAAATAAAATTACTGAGGTTAAAATTGTGAGATTAAAGAAATATTGTATGATGTGAAAATTTGCAGAGTTAACAAAATTTACATGAGATTAATTTTTGCCACACTTTATCAACGGTTCAAACGAAGAGTTTACATTATGCCAAATTATATCATGATCTAAATGATTGGTTACTTCAAAAATAATTTACTTTGAGAAGTTAAAATACTACGAACTGGTTAACCCAACAAAACACATAATAAACAAATACAAAAATATCCAATCATCGCTCCGAGGGAAAAAGCGTCTCGGTGATGTAAATATCCAAAATCGTTGCGAGGAAAAAGCGTCTCGGTAATGTAAATTTTCTGTAGCGTTGGGGGCATGCCTTAATTAATTAATCAATCTGGCGTTGCGAAACATGCCCCGATGAATTAATCGTGATAACGATGATAACCACCTAAGGGGAGAAAATATCATAACCCCCCGCCAGTCCGCAGTATAATGAACTTGTTTAACTGCCGTAAATGAACTATTAGCAATCTTGTGTGAAGAATTTAGAAGTGTTATAATGTAACACTTACGTATATGCATCCAGAGACCTATTCGTAATTAAACATAAGGTGTTTTTCCTGACTAAGTGAATTTCATGAAATCTTCTAGCAAATGGTTAATTTAAATAATCCTGATTGTTAAATTGTGTTTGCACTAGCTGACTATTAAGAAAAACTAGCTTGATTTGTGAATTTTCAAACAAAGAACAGATTCACAACACGTGTTCGCGTCCGACCGGAAGTCTGCAATTTTCGATTAAAAGGGCGCAAGAATTTACCGCGCGGGTTGGGGACAACTGTATCATTATGAAAAATACGTTTGATCGTCGTTAAACAAAGGCTTCCTCCCGTTTTATTAACTACCAAACCAACTAATTTAAACCTAGCTCTTACCGCGTGGTTACACTTACACGAAACACACCAGAATGACACACTCTACCGCCATGCCGCTTTTCTACCAACCCTCTAACTGAAATCACCCTAGCGCTACGTGCTGCCATCTAACCCAAAGATCATGCAAACTAACTCCTAAGCGCTACGTGCATTAGACCATCCATGCATATTTGGTTGCCTATGTTTAAGGAGTTCCTTTTCGTGATTGAACTTTTTTTTTTTTTTTAAATTCAAATTATTCAAATGCGATTTCGCGCCGCTGTTAATTAATTTCAGCGCGAAAACTTTGATTTAAATTCGGTCACCACACTATATAGAAAATAACTATTATTTATTTTTCAAAATGGGCGCGAAGGTCAAGGACACGCAAAACCCAAAAAAATTTACTCTTAACTGTGTAGTTTAGTATTTTTTTACACCTCCTTATTTTACTTTATCGACAATGCAATAGTGACTGATCTGTCAGTTGAGACGTCAAGAGCCCCATTAAATTTGAATCGTTTCTATGAGCGCGTTCTATCGCAATATTTATGATAGATTATGTTCTTACGGAGTGGAGAAGCTAGAAGAACAACTTAAAAGCACCCAGCAGAGATCCTAAAGGAACAGATTTATAAATATGTCTAGGGTAAATGCTATGGCAGTGACGAGAGCAAGAGGAATTATCCACCTATTTTTCAATATTCCTACCACTGTCACGTTCTGTGACTGTCAGTATTTTCCAATTGAACTGGCGTGGGGACAGTGTAAAGTATATTACAATAAACATATTCGGGAACACGGTGGCGCTATTGTGTTGTACAGTCCTTATGGCGGGAGGCTCTTGCTACAGTAAGTGCAGACAATTGGCAAAATTTTATTAGATGTTGTGAACGGCTGATCAGGGATGATTGGAAGCGTTTAATGAGGTAATGCACCATATGAAGCCATACCCCCCAATCATAATTTCTCTCGATTCTGATTCTGATTCTGAATCAGAATGTTTTTCTAATAACTTGTCAGCTTGGCACTTTTTCATTTGGCATTTAATGTCAACAACAATCAGCATTAAGCCCTGAATGCAAACGGCTCTAAAGTCCTTGCTATGTACAGCAGAAGTGTTGAAACATGAGAGTGAAAGCAATGTAAATTCTGTGTTTTCTGTTGTATAACCATGACCGACTAGTATAAAGATTATGGCCTATCCAAGAGGTACATAGATAAATAATACTACGTAAAATAGAATGCAAAGTCGGCTGTAATGCGTGTCCCAGGTTTGTATCTAGGCTTACGTACCGGCCACATATCAAATTATGCATGGTAAATATTTGTGTAGAAGTGAATGCCATAGATAATTTTTACAATAATTTCAGATAATATGAACGACTCCGAAAGACACACCCATGATCCCGTAAACCCTATTTCTATACTGGATTCTCAAAAATTTTGTACTGAAGTATCTCGAAATTCCAGAGAAACCCTAAACGAAACTTTAAACCAAGAATCTTCTCGAATACTAAATTTACATTCAAATTCTAGGAATATTTCGCGTACAGCCCGTAGAAACAAAATTAAGGAAGCTTCGTATCGCCAACGATTGAAATTATACTCCAAGTTTGAAGTAAAATTAGAAAGCAATATTTTAAGTCAGGATGCTATAAATTTTTGTTTATCACAATTAAAAAGACGAAATGTCAAACCAAAGGGTCGCAGGTTTACCACTGAAGATAAATTATTTGCATTAATGTTTTATAAACAGTCTGGGAGATGTTATAGAAAAATGAGACAGATTTTTGCACTGCCTTCACGTCAAACAATTATGTCTATGTTGAACAAAATTCCAGTAGACGTTGGTATAAACAAAATAATTTTCGACAATCTTAAAGAATCTGCTTCAAAATTAAATAACCAAGATAGAATATGTGCATTAATTTTTTATGAAATGTCCAGAATGCCCCACATAGACTATGACAAATAAGTATACGGATACATTTTTCGGATTTCAAAATTTTGGATTTGAACAAAATTTACAGATAGCAGATCATGTTCTTGTTTTTTCATTCGCGGATTGTTTAAAAAATGGCAACAGCCAATATACTTTGCATTTTCTTTTTCGTCTACAAAATCTTACATATTGACAACTATTATAAAAACTCTGGTTGAAAAAATACAAAATTGTGGATTCTAAATTATGGTTACAATTTGCGATCAAGGCCAACCAAACCAAGCAGCTATAAATTCTCTGCTAAAGGAGTCGAAACAACGTTATAAACCTAAAAGAAGAATTTTATTAGGGGATCAAGAAATTATTCCATTATATGACACGCCTCATTTAATTAAATGTATTAGGAACAATCTTACTTAAAATTTAGTGTGGAAAACAAGCGAGGAAGTTTTGATTGCAAATTGGAAACATATAATCGATGCGTACTACAGTGATCAAACATGTGGAGAATTACGGGCTCTACACAAAATTACGGATCTCCACGAAATTCCGGAAAAAATCCAAAAGATGAAGGTGTGCTATGCGACACAAGTTTTGAGTCACTCAGTGGCATCGACTATTACGCCATTGGTTAAATCTAGTAAATACAAATTTAAAAATAATTAACAGATTCATTTACAATTTAATTTTACAGCCGAATGCAGTTTAACACACGAGGCAATGAGAACAGCACGAATTATAAAAATTTTTGACAAGCTCTTCGACAGTATAAATGGCAGTACTTTTCAACCACGGTGCGGAAAACCATTTTCTGGAGCCGGATTTAAATCTTCTGGTCATAAACATTTTTGTAAGAAAGCTATCAAAATTTTGGGTGATATGTATTTCGTCGATGAGGCCGGAAAAATGGTAGTACCTCCGTGTGTAAAAAACTGGATTGCAACGTTAGGTTTTGTGGATTTACATACAATTTTAGTAGAACAGGGCAGGTGCAAATATTTTTTACCTAGATGTTTAAATCAAGATGTTATTGAAAACTATTTTGGCAAAATCAGAAGTCAAAGAAATCGCGCAACTAATCTAACGGCAGCCCAATTTAAGGAAAGTTTCAAATCTCTATTATTACGCAATTTTTATAGTTCAAATTCAGTGGGCGCAAACTATGAGAAAACGAACATACTGGATTTATTTCATATTAAAGGACTTGTGGATAAAAACATAAATCAACCTTCAGTAAATGAGACGAGCTACGAAATTTTAAACGTGAATATGTACATAGCAAAACTGTGTCCATATGATTTAGAAAAAGATCTTCATAAAAGTATTGTTGGTTATGTGTCTGGCTGGGTTGCGAAAACATTAAGAAATTTGAAGTGTGAATATTGTAAAACCCAAATTTTAAACAATTTTTCGGAAGACGAACAATGTTACAAATTAATACGTGTAAGAGAATACAATTGTAATAACAGAAAATTGCAATATTGTAAATTAGATTTTATAAAAAAACATTAACAGAATTTATAATATTTTAAGAATCGTTTTAAGCATCGGACATCTTTCGACAACATCAAAAACAAAATTTCGTTTATAGTATCTCATCATGTCAAATTTTCGTTTCATTGTGAACATAAGGAATTAATTGAAAGTGAAATATGTAATAAAATTATATATTTAACAATTTTTACGTTTGTAAAAGGTTTGAATTTAATTTTAAGCGGTCGCCATACAAGACTTTCCACACATAAAAATGCATTATATCAAAATGCTTGTATAATGTACCAAAAAAGATTAAGGCCAAAAAATCGTAGACAATACTAATAAATAGTATATTATTCTACTCTGTGTTTTTGATAATGAAAATACAATAGTAATTATAAAATATGCAGCAATGACGCATCTAGTAGTTCATGCTTTAACACCGGCCACAAGGCACCAGGGGGCGTTCATTGAGACCAAAAATCAAGTGGGAGTTTGCATTCTCTTTACGTAGTATTATTTATCTATGAAGAGGTACCATATGTGTTGCCATCTATTTATTAATAATTACACTTAATAATTTAGCAAAATTTTAATTTGATTTGACATTATGAGACTTCAAAACGTGTAATGGTCGTTTATTTCGGTATGAATGCTTTTGTGCCTTTCAAAAAGTGTTAATAATTCTTTTGTCGTTTTTGAATTACACTATGCAACACTAAAAAATTCACAGAAAGTTCAGATAGTGTTTGAGGTTGGGTATACTCCATATACTAAAGAAAAAAATGTTTTATACTCATATCACATCACAAGACATAGATAACGGGTGTTTTGTTTTTCTTACTTTTTGGGACACTTGATTGCATTTAATCGTAAAAATATCGCTTTTATGTATCCACCCATGCTTGCAGACTTCTGTTGGTGTCTTCAGAGGGATACCGCGAGATCTGGCTACAATAGGAATGCCAATCGTTCGAAAAAAAAGACCTTTTCTAATGAAAAATGAAGTATTGTTTTATTAATTTTGTATGATTTCAAAAAATTCAATAAACACTTTTCATTGTGATACCTGATGTGATAGGTTGGGTACCTATACTCCATACACTAAAGAAAAAAATGTTTTATACTCATATCACATCACAAAACATAGATAACGGGTGTTTTGTTTTTCTTACTTTTTGGGACACTTGATTGCAGTTAATCGTAAAAATATCGCTTTTATATATCCACCCATGCTTGTAGACTTCTGTTGGTGTCTTCAGAGGGATACTCCGAAATCTGGCTACAATGAGAATGCCAATCGTTCGAAAAAAAAGACCTTTTTCAATGAAAAATGAAGTTTTGTTTTATTAATTTTGTATGATTTCAAAAAATTCAATAAACACTTTTCACTTTGAAACCTGATGTGATACGACTCTTTCAAGCACAATCCTCAATTGAGTTTGAGGTAAGAAATTTTAACTACATACTGTGCATTCTGTGAATTTTATTTTTTTTTAATTTGTTGCATAGTGTTATTAATAGATGGCAGCACGTATGGTACCTTTGGACAGGCCATAATCTTTATACTAGTCGGCCATGGTATAACATACTATTTAGTTACATTTTCTTTTGTTTACAATATTGTAGACGTGTACAACACAGATGTACAAAAAAAGGTGTTGTTTACTGTAACGTCCGCGACCCCGCAGTTTTGCGAGGGTTGTGATCTCCGCTAACTACACTGGTAAGTTGTCGAC